GGAACGCTCAACCTTCCTGTGTCTTTGACCTTGAAGCCTGTTGAGGATCTGGGTGTTTTCATAAAAATGTCTCGGAGCTGACGTCGGTCTGTTCCTCTGTTAGATGGTGGTCCTCGCTCAGCGGGCTGGCGGGACCACAACGCTCCAGGCGAAAGTCGCCGGAGGAAGTTTGACTTTGACATCCGGGACGCCGAAGGTCACGGTCCTGGCCGCCGGCGTGCGGGGAGCGACGGACTTGAGGACGACAGGGACGGCCTGCCCGAGTGGTGCACGGATGAGGAGGACGGAGAGATGGGAACCTTCGACTCCTCTGGAATCTTCATGCCTCTGAAGGTACGTTTACGTTGATCTATCAGTTTAGTGTCGGATGATGCTCCCAGCTTTTAAAGCTTTAACGAAACGTGCGTGAAGTCGAGCTTGATGCAGGAAAATGTAACCGTGACGTTTACCGAGCCTCGAGTACGGCTGCAGTACGAGCACGGGGACCTTTAGCTGCAGGAGGTTTGCATGGACCAGGAGGCGGAGCCTCTCCGAGGGAGCTTAAAGAAAACGTTCAGTGTTTTTGTCGTCTCGTACATAATCTCATCAACAGTTTGACAAAAATCAAACTTTATCGCAACAAAGGCTGAAAAACGAACATGTGACCAAAGACGCTGCAGATCCATGATCCACATCCATCCTTCCTCCCTCCCTTCTTTCTTTATTTCTCTTCTTTCCTTCCTTCTTTCCGTCCTTCTTTATTTCTCTCCTTCTTTCCTTTCTTCCTTTCCTTCCTTCTTTCTTTCTCTCTATTTTCTTTTTCTTTCCTTCCTCCTTTATTTCTCTCCTTCTTTCTCTCCTTTCCTTCATTCTTTCCTTCTTTCCTTCCTCCTTTATTTCTCTCCTTTTTTTCCTTCTTTCCTTTTTTATCTCCTTTCTTTCCTTCTTTCCTTTGTTCCTTCTTTCCTTCCTTCTTTCTTTCTTTCCTTTACTTCCTTCGTTCCTTCCTTCCTTTCCTTCCTTCTTTTCTGTCCTTTCCTTTCTTTTCTGTTCATGGGGGTCACTGGTGTCCATGTCCAGCCGTCACTGTGCGAGGTGGGGGACACCCTGGACAGGTCTCCAGTCCATCACAGGGACACGGAGACATCCACTCTCTCTCTCACTGAGGGACAGTTCAGAGTTATCAGTCTAACATGCATGTTTTTGGTCTGTGGGAGGAAACCCACACAGCACGGAGAGAACATGCAAACTCCACACAGAAAGGTCCCGCGCCGGGATTTGAACCGGCGATCTTCTCCATCTTGTGTAATCCGACTAACAAAATGTTACTGTCGTAGTTTTACACGAGTTCCAGGCTAAGGGAAAGAAACTCGCACAAATACAAATAAACTGTTAAACAGCCGACGATGGTCCTGATGAAGTCCAGGTTTAATCACAGCACATCCGTCAAGCTTCGGTTTTTTTTATCCATGCTGGAAAAAAACATTTTCTATATTTTGACACA